ACACACACACACACACACACACCTCCTCTCCTGGTTTTCTCTGCAGCAGTGTTTCCTCCCTCAGAGGAAACGTTCTTGTAGAACAGGTGAAATAGATCATGTATCTCAGCCTGTGACGTTGTTTTCTCCCTGTAGCCTCTGGCTGTGTGTGTGTGTGTGTGTGTGTGTGTGTGTTTGTGCAGCAGTCTGAACATCATCTGGCTCCTCTCCTCTCTCTCCTCGCTCTCCTCGCTCTCCTTCCTGTGTTGAACAGGAACATTTTCTCCTCAGAGATCTGCGGCCTCCCTGAACATGTTGCTCACTTCCAGAATAGATTTCCTGATCCTGAACATCGTCTCTGTACGAACACGACAAACCCAAACTGCCTCTGATTCAAATAATGAGCGTGTGAATATCTCCACCTTGAAGCGGCATCAACAATTCACTCTCTCATATCTCTGTCGTTACTTCACACCTGTGGTGAATTCACTGATTCACTGAACAGGACGCAGCTGAAACAAGCTCAAATTTGACAATTCAAACTAAACTACAGGAAATGTTTGATTCTTCGTGTGAACTTCGAATCTTTGTCTTAGTTTGAAGTTTTTACGTTTCTTCAGATTCGACTTTTCAAATCCCTCTCACTGCTGCTGCAGTAAACTCTGCAGGGTGAGAGGGGGAGGGGGCTGCTTGTCTTTCTCACCCAGACTGATGGAGGTTAATGGGCCATAACCTGGAGGTGAGGCCCATTATGGCTCTGCCATTACCTCCAGGACAGATGGCAGATGGGTGAGTGTCACTTTACGCCTCCAAACCAACAAGCCTGAACAAACACCAGGAAGTGATGAAGGTATTTATGAGAGGTGAGTCTCAGAGGCGTCGCCTGCAGGATAAATAATCTGCTTCTGTTGGTTCAGTTCATTCTTAGAATCAGTTTCTTATTCAAGAGTCACAGCTGCTGTTCGATCACATTTACAATCATTAACAGACTTCTCCTTCGGTTTAGCAGGAAACTCAACAAAAACGTTAAAAAGTCCCAGAATCTGAAATTCAAACTTTAGATTCTTTACAGAAAATATGTCTCAAGTTTGGTTTCTTCTAAACTGTGAAGTGAGAAGCTTCAGTCTGAGTGTCTCATGGACGTCAGACTTTTCTCTCCGTCTGTTTCCATTTGGTGCAGAAAGTAAAAGTTGTGCATCAGAACAGAAACACACTTAATGAGGAGATTCATGTGAAGTAGCTGCTGACAAACTGTACACGAGACAGACGGAGACAACAGAAAGAGGAGAAAACACAAAACAACCGTCTGTGGGTTCGTCTCAGCTCGAAGCTGCTCGTTCCCTCTGAAGTCACTTCACATGAATCACTTAGACTCATTTCCAGCTGCTCGCTGAAGTTTGAGTCAACAGAGTCGGTTACGATTCGAGGACTTTGATCAGTTCAAGAGTTCTGTCAAGAGCTACATGTCTGTGCACGTAGGCCCCCTAGTGGCAGCTCTGGGAAAACACAGATGAAGTCAGAGATGATGCTTTAACACGTTTCTTCCAGAAAGTTTCCAAAGTGTCTGAAAAGTCCAATAACAGAGAAACTCAACGATCAAAGTTTGTCTGTGAGTGAACGAAACGTTCAAGGTTTAATCTGTAACTTTAACTTTACATCATCCGTAGTTTATATTTTCAAACCACCAGAAATCTGTGGTTTTAATCCAGTTTCATTTCGTCGCCTGTTGGTGGCGTCATATCCTCTTCGAACATCGAGGTCATCGATGTGTCAGTGTTTGTCTGAGGAGTCAAAAGTGACTTTAATCCAGTTTGAAGTCACATTTTTACACTTTTTAGATCTTGGTGGTTTTTATCTCTGTTTGAAGCAGATGAAGGATTTTAGTCGTCGGACGTTTGGAACTGAAGTTTTCAGAGAAACGAGCTGAGCGAACGTTAGCGGCAGCTCGACTCTCAGCCTCTTTTCTATTTAACACTCTCATCATTACAGTAATAAAATCTTTAAAATGTTCAATAACATCACAGGAGCCAAAATGAATCATATCACATCTTTTATTTCCTTCACAAACTCACGTCTGCTTCCGCCACCTCGGGTTTTACATCCGCCCACAGTGAGCTCTACATCATCTTCAGCTCATGTGACCTCAGACCAGGAGATGTCACAGAGCTCCACGACCAGCGTGAAGCTTCGTCTGACTCCTCAGCCTCTCGTCCCTCACAAACACATCCAGTGTAACAGCTTCATAAATTAACTCATTTAATAAAATAAATATGGGTCGTTATCTCTGTAACCGGCCGATTCTTTTCATCTGAAATGTCTCTGATGCTCAGTCGGGTCGTCAGGTAGTGTGAGGATGGACTGAGCAGGTCAACCCAAATATTAACAATAACATACGCGTCAGTGATTATTACCTCGAATCTAACGCTCAGATATCAGAGGGAGATATGGTTTGATGATCTGAGGTGAAAGCTGCTTGTTTGTATCGGGATTAAACATTTGTTTTCTATTTCTCGGTGACGTCGCCTTCACCGACGTCCACAGACCTCCTGGCGAACAGGTGGGTGGGGTCTCGGCCTCTGAAGCCGGGCTGAACGTTGAACACGGGCATGTTCCTCCAGCTGGACGGGTTGTTGTAAGTGGCGGCGCCGGAGTCGGCAGCGCAGGGCTTGTTCTGGACGAGCTGGAGGAACGTCTCCATGTCGGGGCCCAGCCTGGCGATGAGGCCGGACCTCACGGTCGCCACCGTCTGCTCGTCGCATGCCTGCAGCGTCTGCAGCAGCGTGCTGTAATACCTGCAACCGAGAACACAGACTTCAGCCGAATGATAGAAAATAAAATGATAACGAGACGCATGATGTTTGTGAAAGTTCAGCAAAGTTAAAAAGTTTGAAGTCTCTCTCCTCTTGATGACATCACCGGTGCTGCGCTCAGCAAAGAAAAACACAGAAACACATTTTAACAGACCGGGCTTCATTGGGGGGGGGGGGGGGTCTTAAAGAGACAGGAGCTAAAAACAAGTGTTTGAGACAGAGGCTGAAGAGAGGAGCTGCAGCGATGGACAGTCTGTGTTTTGTTTCTTATTCTTGTGATCACTGTGTGTGTGTGTGTGTGTGTGTGTGTGTGTGTGTGTGTGTGTGTGTGATCTGACCTGTTGGGGAAGTGAGCTGGTACCTGCACCACCTCACTGATGGAGTCAGGGTTACTACGAGCCACGGTGCAGATGTCCAGACTGGTGTAACACTCTTCTTGCACCTTTTTAAAGAAATACATTTAATCACAGTGAGCAGAGGACACAGAGGAGGACACAGAGGAGGACACAGCAGAGGACACAGCAGAGGACACAGCAGAGGACACAGCAGAGGACACAGCAGAGGACACAGCAGAGGACACAGAGGAGACGTCGCTCTTCTCTGCTTCTTCACTGACCTCAGCGATCATCCTCTGGAAGATGTTACAGCGGCGGATGGTTTGGAAAACCTTTGCTGAGATTCCCTGGGAGATGCACTGAAGACTCTTCTTCACGAAGGTTTTACCCTGAAGGACGAAGGACGTACAGTCTCAGGTCAGACAGACAGGTGACTGATGGACAGGTGGACAGACAGGTGGACAGACAGGTGGACACACTGACCTCTGTGTTGAAGGTTGCAGCCGTGTGGAGAAAGAGTTCACAGATCTCGTGCATCCCATCGGTGTCGCAGGTTGAGTTCTCCAGACAGGAGAAGAAGCCGCAGCCCACAGACACAGCACCGTTCAAACATCTGGCCACATCAGCTGCTCTCACACACACACACACACACACACACACACACACACACACACACACACACACACACACACA